CATTTTGGGCCCTTTCCGTGGCCCTGATTACAGTTGTGAAGTCCAAATTGTTCAAAACCCCCAAAAAACCCGATTTTTGGGGACCCTCTCTTCAAGGAGCGGACGAGTTTTGGATTGCTCGTCCCCGTCGCATGCCAGCTTGAGGAGCTGCACTGCACGGATGCAGTTGCATTGCAGTGTGCAGTGCAACTGCAATGCAACTGCACACCTGCGTAAGCATTCGTCCTCAGGGGTGGTTTGTGATACGAAGGGGCATATTGTGATACATGACACAGGCCTGTATCTCCTTTCAGAGGCCACGTCAAAGGATCGGATCAACGCAGATCGGATACACATGGGCCCTTCTTGACAACTATGTGCTAATCTGATTGGATGGATCTTGCTTGGACGCTGCCTTTAATGTATTGAGAAATTTATCCAGCAAGCACCACAGATCATTTTCTTTCCACTATCCGGCTTCTTTTTGAAGTGGCCGATACCTCAATGCGTCATAGAAGAGAAAAGCCCGCAGTGGCTCATAAAATAGCAAGAAAGAAATGATGACGAAATTGCCATCGAAGACAGATATGCAGCATATTAGTATGGATGACTTCACGATATTGCCAGTTGATATTTTTGTGTGCAATAGAAAAACTCTCACGGAAATCAGAAAATTTTCGGAAAGGAGAAGACAAATATCCTGTATGTTTGCTAGTACGCTAATCTGTGCTCTAAATGAAAATTTATTAAAGAAAACAAATGAGTTACACATGTAGCATTCGGCTTCAAGACTTATGGTTCTGATTTTGTTTCATGGAAATTTATTCCAGGTTCGTCCTTGCTGTGTCGGTTGAAAGACTTCTCATCATAAAATTTCCATTCCGATCTCTGGATAATTACAATGTAAGTTGGGTAAAATATGTTTTAAAGTGATAATCAATACATTAACTTTCTTGTGCTAAACTCTCCGAACTTCAGCTGACGCTTTGACCAAAATTTGCATCAGAATACCACTTCTATGATTGATTATGATCATTCAAATTTGGAAAAAAAAACTTCTAGCAGCCACTAACAAGATTCTTCTAAAGCTAGGAATTTTTTTATGTGTTATTTTCAGTCCCGGCAAGTTTGGTCGGTATCGATTTGCATTCTTGTTGGTACCTTTATCCTCACAAGGTATGTGAGTCCCAACAACCTCGCAAAAAAATTCAGTATTTTTGTTTGTTTTTAGCTATCACCATGTCTCATACACTTGCCTAGCTTACGACGCATGTAATGGCACACAAGTATTTGGCCTCTGCCCCTATAATGGCAACGAATCGTGGGGTAAACTTGGTCCGAATCCATATTCTCCTTTGACGAGACGATGGATAAGAGCATCAAATTGTCTAAATGCTGCAATCGCTGTTTTATTGCCTATATTGGCCGTTGCTATCTTGAATATCTCGCTTGTGAGACTTCTTAAAAAGAGGAATACTCAGGTAAGAGACTTCAAAAGCAGTGTGAAGGCAAATTAAGCTTTCGCGTTTCCAATGTAGGACCTATTTGGCCGCCGCTATACAAACTACAGGTCACAGATGCATTCGTAGCAAAAAAAATTCAGATAGAAACTCTCGCCCAGACCGTATTTTAAGTAGGTCAACCAGCTCTCCACGGTACGGTAGCGGGCGAGAGTTCAGAGCTGAATATCTTGGCTACGAGTTCTTCCTATGATCTGCCGCTTGCATTGCCTCGTGAGAGTTTCGCTAGTTTCCACCTATGAAACTCAAGTACTTAGATTTGCCTGGACATTGCTTCTACTATCGTACAACAATGGCAGTAAGAATCAGTTCTGTTCAGGAACTTCTCGTGCATTCAGTCAACTGCAATCCAACAGCGCTCCAGGAGCAGGAAAGAAAAATGACCCACACGGTTCTGGCAATCATCACTTGCTTCTCATTGACTCAAGGACCGTCAGCTATAGTTTATCTGTTACAGTTCCGGCCACTCCAAGGACCATCAAGGTAGGTCTCAAATTCTTCTTAACGGTATAAACGCAACTTTATTGGCATCAAAATATTTTAACTAATGGAAAAACAGAGAGCTTCGGTAACAGCAAAGGGAACACCTGGGCAAGATTTGAACCTTACTCTATTGATTATGAGACTCACTATCTTCTCCACTACGGTTGACATGTTCGATAATGAGCTCTAGTTGTTGGCGAGAAAGCACATTCAAAATCCTGCGGAACATTGGCATGTCAAAGTGCTGTGGAACTATTGGCATTCTTCGGAAGTTCCGCAGCGTTTGTAAAAAGTCCTGCGGAAATACCCGCTTTCAACCTGTCTGACGTGGAAATCCTGCAGAAGTTCCCATTTTCAACGTTTTCACTTTTGTAATAGTAAAAAAATCCTGCGAAACAGCTGCAAATGTTGCTTGTCCTGCGGAAGTTCCGGTGGATTGTCTGAGCTAACCCTACTCTTTGAATTTTTTCGTCCTTCATTCAATTATTCTCAAACCTTAACTCTAACCACAAAAAACCCTATTTCACGAGTTAGCCAGGGAAGGGTTCATCACTGGTCCACTTCAAGTCCAAAACTGAGTGCAGAAACCATATTTCTTCTTTTCAACAAACATCAGCGTTGGTATCTATACTTTTCTATGAATAAAAAGTAGGAGTTTATTTCTGAGCACAGAAAAATATCTGAATTTTTTCTGTCCAAGAAAACTTTTGCTTCCTGATTTCTTCAAGGGGAAACTTACTAATCACATTTTTTTTTACAGAAGTCTTCAAATAGCTTCTGTTGTTGCCAATCAACTGGTTCTCACTGGCAAAATGTTAAATGTAGTGCTTTTCTGCATGACGTCGTCCACCTTCCGACGAAAACTTCTTCAAACTTGTCGACGTTGGATCTACACAGCTCTCTATTGCAGTCAAAAAGGTGGAAACAGGTACGAAAAGGGTCAGTGCTATTGCTTCTCGTGCCTCTCTCTATCCGTCTTGTAGAACAGTTTCTCCTGCACTACGGTACCGCTTTTAAGTGACCAGTTTTAGATATCGTTTCTCTCGCTCTCAGTCGAAATCCTTGGTGACGCAGAAGACATCATTGGTGTATTCGCCAAGCTCAAAAGGAGTGGGATCGACAGTGGTGTCGGAAATGTACTCAAAAAAGCCATCAACAGCCACTTTCAGTCCTCTGGTTGCCAATACCGAGGAGACTGCGCAATGAAATAAACAGTTCAAAAGTGTTTATAAATGACTGATCTGGAATTATCTCCCATGACTGAATTTCATTCTGTGCAGTGTCAAAGCAAATCTAAGTACTTGGGTTTCTTATTTATTCAAAAAAATTAGGCGCATGCCTAAACTACAGTTTATATGAATCACTCGGAGCCTGAAAACTCAGCTCTCATTTCTTGTCCAGACAGTATTTGAGTGACCAATCAGCGCTTTCGAGTACGGTAGTGGGCGAGAGTTTGAGCGCTTAGGCAATAGCTTAGTTGAGGACTCTAAGTCAATCATCACGTAGAAATCCAATTACTCAAATTTGCCTAGCTGTAAGACTTGTCGCCGAAAGGACAACCTCGCGTGGACATCTATAACAAACAGTCATGAAAGTTTCCCGCAAGCCCATCGGCGATCCCCACCCGATTTGCTCGGACATTGCCCTCAGTTCGTATTTTCACAAATACTTTTTTCATCATGTTCTTTGGAATTTCTCGCCACGGGTCATTTACAAAATTTACCCAGTGTTTTTTCTTATGTACATTGTTTTTCGATTGCTGTTGAATGTGTTCTCATTGTCAAATATGACCATTGATTCAACTGGCTTGGCGGCTGGAAGGCGGGGCTTTGTGACTTTGACTTTGACTTGACTTTGTGGCCATTCGCGCCCCGCGACACCGTCTGCGTCTCTCCCGTGCGCATGCTCTCTGATCATAACCTAGTAGGTCACGAAGCCCCGCCTTCCAGTCGCCAAGCCAGTTGAATCAAAGGATACACTCTATGTATTTTTGTATACTCACAATTATCAAATCGGCAGTTTTGTGAAAAGGTACCGGTTAACACGCGCAGTTTTTTTTTTCCCAAGTCTCACAACGAATTTGTCTCACAATGTTGTAATTTTTTATTCGTATGTAATTCAATTTGTGTGTGTATAATGTTCTCATGCATACCAGTAATATCGGAAAATTATGTCAAATGGAGGTAGTCATGGTTATAAAGAATTTCTCTAGATCGCTCACTAAGTCTATCTTTTCACTTCTCTCTAGAACGTAGAAATGTATTTACAAAGTGACTGTCCATGGTGTAAAGGTGCCCTGTGCTGGAAGGGGCGGTACCTAAAAGTAGAGAGATTGGATTAAATAAATAAAAAATGAAGATGATCTTAGAATTTGATCTTAAAGTCTGACATCAAGGAGAATTATTTCATGGTTATAGAAAAAATGAAAAAAGATTTTTCAAAATATCAAAAAATTTGAACGTAACATTTGATTCAACTGGCTTGGCTTCGGGAAGGCGGAGCTCCGTGACCTAATTAAGGCTAGCTATTGATCAGAGAGCACTCGCGCGAGAGACGCAGGTGCGTCGCGGGCGCGAGCGGCCTTAATTACGTCACAAAGCCCGCCTTACCGAAGCCAAGCCAGTTGAATCAAAGGTTAGTAGTGCAAGATATTACAGTACAAAATGAATGACTCATAATTTCCTTTTTCCTTGAATGTGATTCTGTATTTCATTGCAACTTGTGTGAAACTGCACAAACAGCAGCATTTCGCGACAACATAGTGAGAAGATAGTAAAAACCCTTTTGATGAAGCAGAGTATTAGGAAATGAGTAATTGCACTTGCTTGTATTTATTTGAGCTAAAAAAGGAGGAGACCAAACCGGAGTTTTCGATTACCCGCAAATTGTGAGCGCATAAGTCGTGGGATACCGCGCATATCGTGCAATTCACATACTGAGCTACAGATTACACGACTTCTGATTCTTTTACCGCAGGGACTCTCTTTTTTCAACTTATACTTTTGCAAAAAAAATCAATTAACCAACTTTTCCAAGAATTTCGTCCTCGCAAGCTAATCGTATCCGCTCCGGTGTAGCTGGTGAGTCAAACCGGAAGTAATCGTTTAGTCCCCGTTCCATTCGGAATGCTCTCACTGCTTCTCGAATAGCAAAGAACGCACATGCACCAAGGAAGAGTGGAGGCTCACCGACGGCCTCGAATAGTCAAAATATTGTTTTCATGAAAAAATACGGGTTTTTCAGACCTTTGAGGAGAAAATGCCCATTTTATTGCTGGATCCTTTTAGTAGACGAACATGGAACTTTCTAGGAGCATCGTCAGCAGTAGGAATTTTGTAAGTGCCCGGACCTCGCGTCAGCCTGACACCATCTGGGCGAATTTTGATTTCTTCCATGGTAAATAAGCCATAACCCTGAAAAGTTCAAGAACTGAGTATGAGTCAGGTTGCTACTCTTTGTGATTCTTACTTTATATAACCAATTTTGGACTGCAAATTTTGGTTCTAATACTTTGAGAAGGCCCAAAAACACGTAGCCTTCTTCAGTTGGATGGCTTTACTTGGTCTGATAGAAGTTGGAAAAGAAATCATGAGTAATGCTCAAAAATTATTCATTCTTAAGTACTACTCAATATTGTTGGTAACATATCTAGGCGATAAAAGATGCTAAGAATCACACAACTATTGATGAATTGAAAAAAATTTTGAAGGACCCAGTGAAATTGGTTTGTTCTGATCGTTGAGCGAATATCTCCATGAGTCGTTTATGCTTTCAATTTCTTTCATAACTTACTGCATATCCTTGAATCAAGTACTATAAATTTAAGTTGAAAGCTTTTCAACATTTTGAGAACACTTTTTTACTTTTGTGCGAGACCTATGGAGAATTCCAATATTTATTGCCCAAGAAATGTGTTCTGTTAGTTAAACACAAAAAATTAACGTACCTGAATAAATGCTCCCTCTATCTGTCCTATGTCCACAGCTGGATTCAATGAATCTCCGATATCCATAACAATGTCCGTTTGTAAAAGCTGAAAAAAATTTCTTGTGGATTTTTACCCAATGTATTTTTTCACTTACATGATGATCTCCTGTCAAGCAATCTACTTCAACTTCACAACATGCTGTACCGTAAACACAGTATCCAAACAACTCAGCACCCTTACCATTGAAATAGTCCACAGTTTCGCTATGGATTCTGTAAGAGAAAATTTGTGCATTGGCTTACTGGTGTAAAAGTGCGTACATTGCGAATCCCGTTGCTGACAGTGAAACACGATTTACATATGCTTCTTTTACCCAGTCTTCCCATGTTCCTTTTGGGTTGGACTTTTTGAAAGGTTCCAAGCGTTTCAGAATTTTATTGCAGGCGTCCTAAAATAATATTTGAAAATATAACATAGTCTTTCTCAAGACTCTTAACTCACTTGAACGGCCAAGCCATTCATATCGCTACCAACTGAAGCTGCTGTTGGGGATGCATTTGGTACCTGAATTCGAGTTTTACTCAGAAAGAGGCCAGGAATTGATTGTGAGGAAGAAAATGTCTCCAGGAAAAGTCAGGTTACCTTATCTGAAGCGGTTTCGTGAATATGAACCCTTTCGATGGGTACTCCTAATACGCGGGCCGCAATCTGCAATACTCAATCTTCACAAAACTCAGATCAATATGAAAGCATTGATTAAAACTATCATATAATTAATAAATAGCTATTCATTATAGTATGAAAATGAATAGCCAGATTAATTGATCAAAGCGATCAATTCTAGGCAGTAATCGAAAAATCGCCAATTTTCTGAAAATTATTCTTTTACTCAAAATAATGTTCTATGTGCAATGCATAAAAGTGCAGTGTATCTACAATGAATTATAAAATAATCTTAGAAAATGATTTCTTTGCAATTTGAGCTTTTTCACATGTTTGCAACATTCAAACCCTTGGTTATTTGACTTCCGGTGCCTCAGAAAACCAAATTTCAAAAATTTTGGAAACGCATAAACATAAACAAAAGATTTTGTTTTTGGGATTGATCTTCTCAGTTACAGATAATGTTCTGCTGTAAAATTTAATAATATGGATGTTATATCTATCACTCCGTATCAACTCCGACAAACTTGCAATATCTTCGTGTGCAATCCTTGGCCCATTTCCATTCCACCGTGAGTGACTAGCACTGTTCCATCCAGATAGACCATAACGAGAGCGCCTGCCTATAAAAAGTAGTGTTTCACATTAAACTTTTTTGAATGAAGACAAAAATCAAAAAAAGAAGATAAATTGCCTAAATTTTTATACTATCAAGGTCAATTTTTCGTAAAAGTTGTCTACCTGATTCATTTGCTTTAGTCCAAATCCAATGCCAAATCTCGTAGGCAACATGTAGATTCCTCGTTTTCGATACTTGTTTGCTCTGAAATAAACATTATATAGGCCTAGCTCGATGTACGTTTTTTTGCTCGTAATTTTTACATTCAAAAAATATTCTAGCTGTTACTCTTCATAGAATAACCTTATAGTTTTTTCGCAGGTGTCTTATTATGTCAGAATTCACCATTTTTATGGAAAAATGTATTGATGTAATGGGCAGTATGTAGGTTTTTTTACAGAACATTATTTAATTGACACAATGTCCTTACCTGTTAAACTCTCGAACAAGCTCCTTTCTCTTCTCATAGTTACTGCTTTCATTGCATTCGTACCAAGTCCGAGCAATGTTGTTTTGTCGCAAGTGCATTCCAAAAGGTGTGCATTCGCCTTCTTTGTAGAAATTCATTTCGCGAAGCTGAACGACAATACTGAAGAATTTTTTCAAAAAGGAGATTTACCAACCCTGTCTGGATCCATATTGAGCTTTTCAGAAATATGCTTGATTATTGTCTCCGTGCAGAACATACCTTGTGGACCACCGAATCCTCTAAACCAATTTCAAACAATTTTTTCGATTTCTCAAGTAGTTAGCTGAGTTGATTTTGCTACCTGAAGGCGGTGTTCGATGCCAAATTTGTCTTACACATTTTCCCACAGATATCCGCATTAGGGAATTTGTACACATTGTCAATATGAACCATTGCACGTTCTAAAAGTGATTTTACGGTGTTTTCAATTATACAGGGCGTCCCAAAAAATGTATCGAACGTTTGATCGTTAATATCTCTCTTCCCAAGAAGTCTTTTGCCTTGCTTCAGGTACCGCTTTGTAGAGCTGGCTTTAACTTAGATTTGCATTATAGAACGAGTCACCCATTCCTCTTCATTACTGTGGGATTACGGTAGAAACTTGAAACATATGGTGTCAATGTGGAAAAAGCTCCAGTTTCAAAAATTTTCAAAAAAATGTGAAAATTTGTGTAATAGGGTTTTTATGGACGCTGAGTTTAAAACTCAACTATTCACAAGATCACGAAGCTTTCTAAACGGTGTAACTGCACTTTTTAGGAACATTGAAAAAATGGCCGCTACCTCTTACCTGGCATAACTTTTCAATGAAGCATCATAATAAGTTGGGAACTTTACAGATAGAATCACAACCCTAATTAGCCTAGTGTAAAAGTTTTCAGGCTGTTTCGTTTCCTTTCTAAGACAAAATATGGCCTTTCATTGCTTAAAACCCTCTTTAAAGTTTCTACCGTAATTTTACAGTAATGAAGAGAAATGAGTGATTCATTCTATGATGCAAATCTAAGTTGAAGCCAGCTCTACAGACTGGTACCTGAAGCAAGGGAAAAGACTTTTTTAGAAGAGAGATATTAACGATCAAACGTTCGATACATTTTTTGGGACACCCTGTATGTCGATGATTATAAGGACGCACGTGTAACTCCCATAGATAAATCGTAGGAAAAACCACAATTCGCGTAAGCAGTCACATCATAGTCTCTAAACTTTCCGGAAGAGTCCAAAGCCACCTGAAAAATGTTAAAGTACTGTTTTGTCTACTTCTTTGATAAAAAAGAATATTAGTGATATAATGTTTGAAAAGAAATAATAATACACACGAGATTTTTTAGTCAGCCCAATGGAAAAACTTATGGGATTAATTTATGTACGGTTTTTCAAAACTTAATATTTCTTCCAAACAAGCAAAGGAGCTAAACAAGCGACTTTACGAGTCCTTCTCAGTTTAATTCTTCGTGAAATGTCTTCCGTTGGTTGCTCCTACCAAAAAACAAAAACCATCATGAATGTTCTCTGAACCAGAAGAGCGCGCAGTTACCAGAGAAGGAATCAGAGACGGCATTTCTTTGTCCCTCTGTCCAAGGTTTCACTGATTAAGGTATTTCACATAGAGTGCGATAACTAATTCTCTTGCTGCTCGGTTCGAACAGATTACTTCCAAAATTGTCGAAAAAATATCGGACAAAACTTTTGTATTCCACAAAATTTGCAGCAAAAAAAACGACGAAATCATATGATTCTGCGCAAGTTCAAATTTAGCCGCAATATTCTACTTAGCTAATTTTTTTTGAAAAGACAGACTGCTAAATTTTTGAAATGCCGTCTTGGCATACCTTATAGTTGAATCTGAATGGGTGCCGTGTCCCACTTATGGCCATATCATCATATCGTTCCAATGTTATACGTACTGGTTTTCTCAGTCTAAAATATAACTGGCTTTGCCGGTCAATGCTGAATAAATAAATAATATAAATAATAATATTACTTCATCGCAGCAATGGCCGCTGGCACTCCAAACAATGCGGCTGTGCTTTCTTTACCACCAAATCCTCCACCAATTCGTTTCACTTTGACAATGACTTTATGTGCCGGGATGCCAAGACATTTCGCCACTTCCATCTAAACTGCGAGCCATTCAAGAAAAAGGTTGGTAATCCGGGCAAGACCCACCTGTAGATCGTGCGTCCCTTGTGCACTTGTGTGTATCTCTAACTCGTCGTCCTCATGTGGTATAACGACACTTTGATGAGTTTCGAGGTAGAAATGCTCTTGCCCTCCCATTCGTATCTCGCCTTCGATTACATGTTCGTATTGTTTCCAGTCGTTCTTGACTACTTGTTCATTTTCAAGCAATGATGAGTGAATCACAAATGGTTGATGGCCGAGGTAGGAATCCGCTTTGATCGCGTCCTTTAAGAAGAAAATTAGAAGCATAATGTTTTGCCAAAATTACACAAGGGTAAACATAGTGGCTCTACGGTGAAGACAACATTTGCGCGGCAAGAAATGGCGCGATAATGAACACCGTGAGCTTGCTTGTGACTTGCGCCTAAGAAATCGCCTTGGAGCGCACATAGTAATTTTTTACGCGCAAATATTGTCGCCACGGCAGGGACATTGTGTTCACCGACAAAAAATTTTTTTTACAGTATACCTCAATTGTGATTATAGGTTGATCCCTACAGTATACCACTTTTACCGCATGCGCAGCACGTCGTGCTATTTCGTGATCTACCGCTACAATAGCACCAATCGGCTGGCCATGGTACAGAATCTAAGAAAATTTTTGTTGTTTTTTATTTTCATTTTTCAAGCTTTCCGACCTTGTCCTCAACGAAAATGGGTGTGTCACAATGATGTCCTATCTTAGCGCCTCGCAAAACGTCATCTTTGTCAAAATACGCAATTACACCATCCATCGCCAGGGCGTCTGACGTGTCCACGGATTCCACACTCCCAGATGCTATGGATGACATGACGAGCGCCATGTGGAGGCAATCTGAGTGTATGAATAAATTAAAATTGCTCCGGTAAGTTAATACAGTATAACTACAGACTTACTGGCAACAGGTATGTCATTACAATATATCGCCTCCCCAGTTACATGTTTTTGGCCGGACACATGTGGAATTGGGCGACCTACAGGGTCGTCAATGGGTTGGTCGATGGGAACTTGCTAAATTTTGCGGCTTGGGTAAGTGAACCGTGCTAGGTAGAGTAGAAAAGTTACCTGATATGCTTGGGTGGCCACCAATTCTTCCGGGATTTCTATCCCAATAGCCAGGGTCTCATGACGGTCAGTAATATCTTCTATCTGCAAGAAAACTTACCATAGGTAGGTGTGGTAATCAGAAGATAACCCAACGAATATTTTATCAGCCAAAGACGGACATATTTCGGTAATTTTCAAGATCGTTGGAAAAATGCAGGATAATTTTCCAAAGTTATGTAAATCAAGTAATAATTTCTCAGGTATCGCTTATACTCACATCAAACTCCTCCGACACTTCCAGGAAGAATTTCAGGAAAAAACTGAGCGTAAGGGCTTGTCTGTATCGTGGCATGCCTCCAGGAACGCCTGGTGGGAGAGGAAATTCTTTGGCAAGTAGGTCCAAACCCTCATCCAGTAATTGCTGGGACCATTTTCTAAAAAACAGTCGGGTGGAAGTACAGAAACGAATTGCAAAATTTTGTAAACTTTGTACAAGCTGCTTATTTAATTATTCTTGATCCAATGCAGTCCGCAAGTTTGAGGAAAAGAGAACAGAAAGTTATTTATTCATATAAAAAGCGGGAAAAACTTCAAAGTGATGGAAATCTAAATAGAAGGATTATAGTATATCTGAAATAATTTTTATGAAATTCTTTCGTGTCTTTTCCAGATCATAACAATTTTGACGAAGCACATCTTATAACTACATCATTTCATAAAGTCAAATCATCTCAATAGATTGTTCCGAAAGTAGTGTCGCTTTTTTCAAATGAACGCCACATTTCGTGGAAGCAAGATTTTTAAGAGCGCTTGGGATCAGTCGATGCAACATTTCATCTTCTTTCTAAGGGTTATAATTTCATTGCATATTCAGTGAACTCTCGAAAAATTGCCAGGATCTGCGTCTCATGCTTTTGCCATGGTCAGGTTCGGCTATTTTTCTAAATTTTTTGCCTATTCTCCGAAGAAGTACAAGCGACAAGTAGATAGAGCAAACCCTATAGGACACAGAATAACTTTTATCTTTTCCTCAGCTTGCTTCTTAGAGTTTATGGAATCAATTTTTCAATGCCATCGAATTCCATATATGGTCAACTCAAACCTCATAGAACAACAAACGGCAAGCAGCTTGGGTGTCATTCGACGCAGCTTTTCTCATCTTTCTACCAGTTGTTTTTTGTTTCCGATTCATCAAGTTTTCCATGATGAAATCATCATAATTCAGGTTTTCCAAGGCGCCTTCAAACTGTACCCGAAATTTTGAAAGTTGCTATTCTGAAGCGGTGAATGCTCATTTGGTTTGTAAAAGTAGTATCAAAATATAATCCATCTTTGTAAGTTTCAAAATCCGAAGATTTATTGGTGTTTGATGCATTTGAGTCTGAGACGAGCTTGCTAAAAATCGGTGGCTCCTTAAAAAATCTATACAAAAATTATGACGAGCTCTGGAAGGTAGAAAAAAGTTGTGCTGTTTTTTGTAGGCTTTGCTCTATCCATCCATTACTTGGACTCCTTTTGAGGCTTGTTATAAAAGTTTAGAAAAATTGTGAAACTTGCCTTCTTAAAGAGCATGAATCGCAGATTTTGATAATTTTTCGAGAGGTTAATAGATTTTACGCAGTGGTTATATAATCATTAGAGAGAGAATGAAATGCTGCATCAAATGCTTCCAGAACCTCTTACTCATCTTTGTTCTACGAGATGTGGCGTACGTTTGAAAAAGGCGACATTTGATAGATTTGTTCCTTTTCTTGAAACTCCCTCTCCCCCTCCCCCCACTCTTCATTGAAAATCCACTCACTTGCCCTTCAAACACTTCATCGTATTCATTGCCAGTTTCGTGGTAGGAGCCATGCCACCATAAGCAATTCTGATCTCCTCCACAGTGAGTGTTTCTGGATTTAGCAAGGCGCTAAATGCTCCCGTAACAATGGCGATGTCATCTTCACGACGTTGAGCTTGCTTGTAGACTCGGAAGACTTGATTCTGAAGTAAAAATTTCAATTGTTGATTTCGAAAATTGTTGAACCACTTTTTTGGAGAACGGGATAACAACAGCTTTGAGAATTTCATCGGCTTCTAGTGCTGCTTTCCTGTAGCCATGAAAGAAGTTTTGGTCCATCACCGGTGTACGAATGCCTCGCTCTTCGGATTCGAGAATAATCTAGAAAAACGATTGTGATATTTTTGAGAAAAACCACAAAAATTAAGAATTTTAGTTGGGAAACGTTTTCTGTCTCGAATGTTTTTGAAAAAACCCTTCTTTTACACTCAAAAGGGAAAAACGCATAACAGTATTTACTATGAGAAAAAAATTACCTTTGCTCCTGATGCCATCCATATGGGATTTAGATCAGAGATTGGCGACGCTGTGACAATATTACCGGCTATGGACTGCAATAGGAAAATTTATAGTGAAAAAAAAACTTTGAAACTAGACGAAGAGAAGTCTTGCATGCTAAAATTCAGAAATCAGCGATTACTACTTACCGCCACATTCCTAACATGCTTTCCAGCAAACCAGTGTGTAATTCTGCGAACTGCTTGAAAAACCTCGCACATTTCCTCTAAAATCGTACAGGAATAGTAGGAATAAAACTAGAAGATTTGCTCTTCTTTTGCTCAGGACTTATTCTTCCCAAAAAAGCAATTCGCTGATGAAGAAGATGGAAGCTTACTTGGAAGTTCTTTCATGAACTTTTTGACATTGTTATCTACTTCCGTAAGACTTAAGCCGGTCCCCATATAAACGCCATCGTTCTCTAACCGTACTTCGTGAAGTTCTGGAACCTAAAAAATGGCTTTTATTGAACTCCGATACAACACTAGTAGCTTTTTGTGAGAAAAAAACCTACTTGACGAGGATTTATGACAATTTTGAGTTCGATGAATTGGAATTTCAACTCTACTGCCAATTCTGAATTTCCGGACATAATGCGGGCATGTGGATGAAGGCGCTTTAGCTCGAGTAGATCACTGGAATAATCACAAACATGTACGTAGTCACGTATTTATAATAGTAACAATTCAATGATACTTGCGCTAGTAAGGCAATCATTTTGAACAGTCAAATTTATCAAATCAATTTGAGTTTGAACCATGCAATTTATCACTATACTAGTTTTCTGACAAAAGTGTTTCCAAAAAGAGTTTGTTTTCGGAGAAAAATGAAGTGTTGAGCTTACTTTCAGATTACCCGTCACGAACAGAATAAGCAACATATATTTATTAGTTAAATTTTATCGGAACTCGAAGTCAAGAATACCTGTAATTTGTAGGCTGGTACCAAATCGTTTCATCGTGCTCATATGCAAAGGATGCTGTATGAAGCCCTCTCACCTGGAAAATGTACAATAATAAGTAGTGAATAGTATCACAGTCTTGCTTACTCTGATCTCAGGAGGGAAAATTAGCTCTTGTGTGGGATCGTAAACAGCTGCCGCGGACATGTCAGTAAGCTTCAATTTCTGGAAAATACTAAAAATTGCTTGAGAAAATGATTGCAAGAAATAATGGCAGAGTAATTTATTCAGAAGAAAAGTGAAAGGGAAGGTAAATCAATATCTAAATGATTATAGTCGACATTATAATGGTTGAAGGCTAAGAATATTCTTCCAAATTATTCCTCCCAGTAATGCATACTTACCTCCTCTCTGTACTTAGAATGATCCATGTCATCGTGACCATTTTCCATATTAGGACCATCGATAAAACCGTTTAATTGTGAGTTCTACAAATTACAAATTATGAACATCAATTTCTCCAATCAAATTTTCTACAGCAGTTTTCTTATTGTTATGGACGCATTAGCTACCCACCTTTTCATCTTTGCATTTGCTATTTTTCTTCACTTTGCAGCATTGATCTCCCATACCACAGCCATTTTTTTCTGATATCTACAACATTCAAAATCATATCAGTTTTTTCTTATACTGTAAAGCAAACAAACCTTAATGTCTCCATTTGGTTTGACTGCAAAGCTGTAAAAAGCTTCCAGAATTGGTCGGTAACCAGTACATCTGCACAGATTCCCTGAAGACAACTGAATTTCTGAGAGAGCGGAGGAGGGAATTTCATTCAATGTGAAAAGAATCTGAATGTGAATGCGATAAAAGCAAAGAAACTTCTAACAGAAAGAGAAAAAGTATATTTCCTGTAATGGGAAATAATGTTGTTAATATGCAATGAATCGCAAACATCAAATTTTGAAGAAATTCACACATTTGATAAATACCACAAAAATCATTCGCTTATTATGAAAATTAAAAATGGATTTACACGCCGAGACATATAATAGATGAATGCAATTGCCCTTTGAGATAAGTCAACCAATTTTTGACCTTTTTAATCGATCAAATAGGCACTTGTCAATCATTATTAATTTCATCTCATAATAATTTACTTACCCTGCAAGGCATCATTGATATCCAATTCTGTAGGATTTGGATTATTTCTTAGCAATGCATACATTGCCATAACAAATCCTGGTGTGCAAAAACCGCATTGAGAGCCGTGAGCCCTGAAAAAAAATTTTTTTTAGGAAGCTCTAATTATCATTCTTGCATCCGCAGAAATTTTATCTAACATAGCTAATCGCTCCTGTACTGGATGTAGACGTCTGCTTACTACCGAACCCAATCCTTCTACCGTAGTCACAGCTTTGCCAAATAAGGAACATATGGGCATAAGACATGAATTTGCTGAGTAGTGCCTGGAAAATCGATACATATGAAAGAAATTGTCGTTCAGTTTTTGAGCTTACCGGACTTTGTCGGTTAACAAGTTGATTTCGCTGATCATCACAGTACACGCTCCACAACCTCCTTCATTACAGCCGATTTTTGTACCGGTCAAGTGTACTAAACATTTTCTTTGATTTTTACCAAAATAATTGGAAAAAAAGCTTCTTGGGACGTACGATGATCTCTGAGATAGACTGCAAGTGTTGTCTTCGGGTCCACTTTTTTTTCTTCTATGCGACGACCATTGACGTAAAATATTAGAGTGTTGTAGTCGTAAGAAGAAAGATCTTCTACTCGATGTTTCACCGTCATCTATAAATTTTTGAATTTTGCAAAACCTAATGCCTTCAAACATATGCATAAAATGCTGAACAGATTCTTTACAAAATGATGAGACAATTAAATTGCAGGATTTTTAGACTCATTTAGGTAGGAGTACATCTCTTTTAAGAGAAAAATAACAAACAAACAGAATCAGCTACACTTTCTCCATACTCTTTGTATAGAGGGACACTAAGATTGTCATAATAGTGCAGTCATGGCCAACATAAGATAAATCAAACTTTAAAAGTTGATCGTGCGCTTGAAAGTTCTTTGCGTTCTCGTCATATCCATCTTCATAGTCTCATTGCTTCAAAATTGTGAAATTTACAAGTTAAAAAAATTCTCTCTACTTCTCTACTGTTCGTCAAGACAAGGAAATTGATTTCAGAAGCAATCTGATAAAATTAAGCTCGCTACACTCTCTGATCTTTGTACTGATAACGAAATAGTAATCATTCGCTGCGCCAACCGGTTTCTTTGAATGTGCAACCGATAACAGAGGTCACTTCAGCGTTAATTAATAACTTTCGCCTAATTGATTCAGTGCGAGATGCAATACAGAATGTTAAAAGCCTAGTGTCCGATAAGATCACGATGATCATGTGGATCAGAATGAACTTTAGTATCTTACAAAAAAATGAAAATCTGGAAGTGATGCAAAAGATTATAAGAGAGATGACATTTTGAAAATTGCGGGAAAATTGCGCTAAAGCTCTGCCACACAGAAACTGGCTTAATGATATATGTGATAACTCTGTAGAAATATATACATCACAGTGAAAATTGCAAGAGCTAGAAATATTTCTATCGAATGAGCACATATTTTCTGGTTTGAGAAAGCCAAGAACGCGTTGTTAAGATCCCCTGTAATCATAAGTTGAATCAAGCCTGTTCTAACGAAAATGGAGGAGAAATAGCAAATTTCACTGTTACATTGCTATGGAGGAGAAATAGCGAACCAATTATATTCCTTACTGATTTTGCACAAAGTGAATCTATCATAAATTTGCTAGTTGTAAGAAGGGAAGGCAAACATAAACATCTTTTTCATTTTGTGTAAGGAAAAATTACCAGAAGTTGTGCATATAAGTAGTTTTTTTTCGGCTTAAAAACGGGACTACTCAAATTAGGCATTAGGAAAAGTGGAGTTTCCGATGACAATCAAGACAGCGAGAGGAAAAATGACAGAGTGTTATTGTTGTTTGTTCCGTAGCTGAAGGACAAAGTATATTCAATTTGTGTCAACAACGTAGATAATACCGTAATAGAACTACCTTCTAGAAACTAAACACTCAAACACCTTTTAGAGACTAATACACCGTCTCCCTGACGAAGATCAGGCTGTTTTATTGTAAAGGTCAATTTAAGGAGGTTCAACGATGTGTCATATGATTTTTGGGCGATGGAATATGATATGATATGAAACATGAAAACTGTACTGACTCAGAAATTCTAGAAGAATGAAATAAAGGTTTTGAGCAATTTCTGATTGGATGCAGTGGAAATGTCTAAAGGGCGATACTATCACACCGATCACTATCGTCACATGCTGTCTTTCAATATAAACCCGATCTGATACCGTCCGTAACTATACGCTGATTAGCGCATGATTGATGAACGGAGAGCATTTCGGCAGAAAACGTTTATATAAACCAGTAAATGTATTACTGGATTATACAAACGGGGTTTTTGAAGAAAAAAATGAAGAAATCTTGCCATGAATGCTTGAGTCTGTTGCTAGAACTCGAAACACCATCCATCACATCAAAGGCAGTGGCTCGGGAAAATTGCAACTGCGCGCCTTCTGTTCTCTTGGCCTACAATGCGCTTAGACGAGAGCTGTGTCTGAAAAGTCAAAAAAAATGCTTTTAATGGGGTTCTTCGGCCTCAAATATTGCTGAGGAGGCAGGAGCGGAGATTCTGTCGAATCGCGATTGGCTGTCTGGGTCAATCAGCCAATTGCCGCCCAAATGAGCGGTGTTACGTTGAGTTTTATCGTTTTTTAATTGTCAAATGTAAATTATGTTCAAAAGAAGTTAGATCAACTTAAATATAATATGCGTTAATTGTCAATGTACAATGATCACAATAGTTTGTGATTAGAGAACGAGACGGAGTAGAAGTATTTGGCATATACATTTTGCTTGTTAAAAACATTTTACTTCTAGTTTAAATCACATTTTAACTTGCGGTCCAAATTTGTTTTATGGTATAATCTGCTGTGTACTGAGGGTTGCTAAGTGGCTTTTGCGCCTTACTATCAAAGCCACTAGCAAATGGCCGTATTTTCAAGGGACACTAAGGCAAATTGACTATTTCAGTTTGGTTTCATGCTGTTGCGGAACGTTTTTACATGATAATTCAAACAAGAATGGATACTAAGACGATCCAGCTGTTTGTAATAGGACGTATACGGTTCATCTCCTTTGTAATGTAAGCAACTCCTTAGGAATGCAAGAAGCCATGACCAATATGTTAAGGGCTTGAACTGCGATGCGAAGACTCGCGGAGATGCACCCGTCAGGCTGCCGACCGGTTAGCTACCCTAACCCTTGGACTCTGGTTGATGCCGAGCCTACCTTCCTTATCCTGCTCCGCAATGGTATACCTTATCTATGCTTCTTCCTACAATCCTTACTGTATCCCATTGCTGCCCTAACAGATGAACTATTGAGTACTGGTCGGTGTTCCTGTTCTTGCCAGCCAATCGGCACGCTACCCTACTCACACGCTTACGGTAACGCTAAGCTCAAATCTACCTGCGGAACGGTTGAAATGACGAATTTTGACTGCAGGCCGCCCTTTAAGATTATCAGATAGAATTACGACGTTTTTGAAGAGGAGCGATTTTTATCGTGGTAAATACAAGGTGTATCAAAAGTAAGTACACACTTTTAAATCGTCAATATCTCTCCCAATGGGTCTTTTTTTGCCGGTGAAGTACCATTCTGTAGGGGAGGTCTCAGCTTAGATTTACAGTATTGACCGAACCACCGATCGCTCTTTGTTACTGTAGGATTACGGTAAGAACTTCCAGCATGTGGAACCTTTTGAAATATGCCATCTGACAAAATTTTTTCAAATAATCGGAAAAATTGTGTACTAGGGTTTTCGCGCACGCCGTTTCCTCTACACAACCTTTTACGAGTGTTTTCAGCTTTTTTGACGGGGAATCAAATTTCTGGAAAATACTGGGAATTCCGTTATTACGGTTTACCTGGGATCACTTTGGAAACAAGCATCACTGTAAAGTAGGCATTTCATATTCGAAATCAGCGGCTTCCATTACCATAGTATAAGAGTTTTTGGCTGTTTTGGTTTTGTTCCGAGGCAGAATATGGCTTCTAATGGCCTAAAATCGTTGTCGAAGTTCCTACAGTAATCCTACAGAAATGTAAAGCGATCTATAATTCTTCGATAATGCTAATCTAAGTTGAAGCCTCCTTTACAGAATGGTACTTGAATGGCTGAAAAAGACGCAAATATAAGAGAGATATTAACGATTGAAAAGTGTGTACTTACTTTTGGGACACCCTGTATAGATAAGGTGGCCAGGATTCTTTTCATTAGGTCGTTTCATAAGCTCGTAGCGTTTTCATTCTCGCCCTAATTTCTTGGAAAGGCGGCAAGTTGCGCATGTCGTTGAAAAGAGCTAATCATGCTCTTTATAAGGGCTTTCTATAGAAAGCTAACCAATTCCGGTTTTTCGGCTTGCAAACGTAGACTCTTCAAAGACAAAAAGAGGCATTTTCGACATCTGCTACTTTTTCTTCCAAAATGTGATTTTGCACGGATTTTTTTATGGCGCTTTCCCGTCATTGTGAGACAGAAAGGATTAGATTGCTTCAAAGAAATTGAGAGCTCGCGGGGTGTTCCGTAAACAAGACTTTTGCAGGACTGGCAGGAGGTACTGAAAATTGCTAGACGAGAACAGAAAAGTCGATCATACCGTAGCAACCCATTTGCACCGCCTAAACAGATCCCTATTGCAAAAATCGCTCAAAAGACGGTCTAGTGAGTGTCTTCGCATGATGAATCATGGCTCCGTACGGCAAACGTCGTCAACAGTCTTGCAAGACTTGACTGGAAGACGTATTAGTATCCAATGTACTCCTCAGACCTCGCCCTACCAGATAATCACTTGTCCAGCTCTTTTGCAAACCATATGAACGATGCTTGTTCCCTTTCTGAAGACGATCTTAAAGGCAACGTCCGGGCAAAAACTCGACTTTGAGATTTTGCGTTTATACAGGCCTATTCGCCATGCTGAATCCGAAAATCCACACTGGAAAGCGTGAAAATGGCAAAAAAGGGTTCTAGTGCAAGAGAGAAACCGCAAAGGGCGGGGTCCTCCCGACTGTGAATTCAGCTCCCAGCCTCCGAAGCTGTCTTCTCTACTCCGCTAGCTGTCCTAACATCGCTACCGGCCAAAGGCGAATATCAACTTGAAACCGGAAGCGAGAAGATTGCTCCGGAAGCTGGTAGCGTAAATCCACAGTGGGGAGGACTCCGCCCACCTACTAATTTCCCTCCTGTGTTAAGCCGTTTTTCGTCGTTTTCGCGCTCTCCGATGTGCATTTTCGGATTCAGCGTAGCGAATAGGCCCGGGTGAGCACGAAATCTCAAAATCGAGTTTTGCCCGGACACTGCCTTCAAGCGCTGGTTAGACGACGACATTTGGGACCCGAACTCTTAAGTTTTGGAAAAACGAATTTGAAAATGTTAGGGCAAGATGTCAAAACGTTGTGCGTAACAACGAAAAACATACCTACCATCGACTGAATTTCGACAAAGTTATGTCATTTTGGTGGTTCTAAAAAGCAATAAATTTATGCAACGACTCAGTACAAGGCCTTTTAGCAGATAGTAAATGCAGATCTGTGCTCAGCCAGCGTTTCAAACCCAGATAAAATTTCATATCACAAACGGCCTTATCGGCTCTTATCCCTACAACGCATTGACTGCTGCAAAGTATTACTTTAATTCGA